ACACGTCAACTTCGTGAAGGACAGTGAGAAAACGGTTTGCCGAAAACTTGAAAGGTGGAGCGGGGAGCTGCCGGCCGTGTCAGATGCGATAGAGTCTGTCGTGGCCGCGGAGGCCGGCTGCTGGCTGCAGCGACGGATGGCCTGCAGGTGGGACAGCGTCCCGTCTTCCGCGCGGCCCCCAAAGTGACTGCACTTGACCTGCATATTGTCTCAAGTTTGCGGGATCATGATATACAAGAAGTGAGTTGTTAGCCAGTGTGCAGTTAGTTGGAACCGGAGACCAAGGGCTGCATTTCCGTGCGTGCGTGTGTGCCCAGAGCGAAGTTCAAAGGCATCTTCTACTAAAATTGAGGGGTGCAGGGAAAGAGGAGATACGGGGCTTTATGAACTTACATCAAGTTTAATAGAAGTAATGAAAGCCAACTCTGGATCATCTACCAGGGGTCCTCAAACTACGGCCACATGCGGCCCGCAGAGGACATTTATCCGGCCCGCCACTGGGTATTTTTGCTGCCGCTGCCTGTCCTGCTTAGCAGCCGGCTCGTCCCGGGCCCGCAGTGCGCATGTGTGGAATGTGCGCTGCACTCTCCAACGGTCCTCAACGGTCTGGGGGCAGTGGACTGGCCCCCTGTTTACAAAGTTTGAGGACCCCTGAATTCTAAGCAGAGAGGACTTTATTAGGGGGACTCTGGGAGCTTCAAAGGAAGGAAGGGGAAAACTGGAATCAAGGCAGCGACAGTAGAGTATAAAATGAAGTAGGACCAGAGCAGTGGTTCTTAACTCTCAACTGTGCATTAGAGTAACCTGGGGAGCTTTAAAAATGCCCATGTTGGCCGGGCGCGGTGGCTCACACCTGTAATCCTGGCACTCTGGGAGGCCGAAGCAGGAGGATCGCTCAAGGTCAGGAGTTCAAGACCAGCCTGAACAAGAGAGAGACCCTGTCTCTACTATAAATAGAAAGAAATTAATTGGCCAACTAAAAATATATATATAGAAAAAGAAAATTAGCCGGGCATGGTGGTGAATGCCTGTAGTCCCAGCTACTCGGGAGGCTGAGGCAGGAGGATCGCTTGAGCCCAGGAGTTTGAGGTTGCTGTGAGCGAGGCTGATGCCACAGGCAACAGAGTGAGACTCTATCTGAAAAAAAAAAAAAAGCCAGCGTCTAAGCTTCACTGCAGACAGATTGAATCCGAACTTTTGCAGACAGATTGAATCCGAACTTTGAGGGTGGGACCTTTCTCAGCTCTAAGGCGCAGCCAAAGATCAAGCACTACTGACCTGTGAGGACGTTCTGGTCAAGGCCTAGACTCTGGGACAAGCATATTCCACCTGTTCGTTCTAGCCTTGCATCATTTGTTCAAGGGAAAGAGTGGAGAAGAGCGTCCAGGTGGTTGAGTTGAAGTCATCATCCAGTTTGCAGGCGGAGAGGCATGCAAGGGAGAGGCTGGCCTCTACGAAGCCCTTCGGCATCAACAGAGAGGAAAGAAGCCCCTCAGTTTACCCGCAGGAGTACCCAGAGTGTGGCCAAGGCCGTCCCTCCAAACCTAGAGGCTGTTAGAAAGGGGCGATGGATGCTAAGAGGCCGAAAAAGCAAGAGGAGCTGAGCATGCACAGTCAGGACACAAGGAAGCGAGAGATCCAGGCTCCTCTACGTGAGTTCTGCATGAAGCCGGGCTTTTCCAGCTCCAAAGCTACAAAACCCAGCTTCCTCCTCCTCTCCTCTCATTCTTTGCGTCTCCTCAAGTGTTAAAAGTACTGAGAAAGGAACAAGATGCCAAAGCCAGTTTTATGACAATTATAGAATTACCCCCAAATGTTTCCAAAAAGACAAAGCAAAATGAAACAAAAGCATGGCTTCTGGAAGACGCCGGTGTACGGTCCTACTATTTTATTTTTGCAACCAGCACCTCTTGGGACAGCGCATGGAAACGGGGCGGGTGCCATTCTAGAAGGGATGGGTAGCTCAGTCAGTGGGCTGTGTGTGTACCTGTCGTAGGAGATCTCTGGTTCCAAAGCCACCCCGATCTAAGGGAAACTGGGAGCCCCGAATCAAACTTACCTTTTCAGCTACTGAAAGCACCACTCGCCACATTTTTTTGTTTGTTTGTTTTTTTGCTCCAGAACAGAGGTTCTCAGAGTGTGGCCCCCAAATCAGCAGCAAGAGCGGCAGCAGAAAACTTGTTAGAAATGTAAATCCTCAGACCTGGGCTGGGATTCAGGGACATCCAGGTTGTCACAGCCTTCCGAGTGATTAGGAGGCATGCTCCAGTTTGAGAATCACTGCTTTAGAAAAAGCATGTCATTCCTTCTGTGGGAAAGAGCAGTCTCCAAAATATCTAACCAGAATTTTGCAATGAGTAGCTCTATGGAGAGCTATCTATCTAAAGCTGTGCATTAATTGTTAATTAATTGCATTAATTGTTAATCATTGACAAATGATGGGGGACCAATGAAAAATAAATTGATGTTCGGCAACATTGTCAAAAATAATGCTGTCAAATTAAAAAAGGATACTTTTGCTTTTTAACTGTCCTAGTCTTTCCTAGTCACAACCTGTGATCTTTGACCAATGATATTATTCCTGTATGTCTTTTCTTTAGTTTGTAAAATCGCATCCCCCTGTTACCAATGCTATTTCAGAGCCATTCTGGCAATTACAAATTTCGACTTGTTTTATCACCTGTTTTTGTTGGTGGACTCTATACTATGACCTGCTTTGCACACTTAGGAAGGTTAGTTTTATTTATTTGAAAATAAAGGTGTTCACACTGACATAGGTCATCAAGAAGCAAATATAAGAGACTACAACAATTTTTAATTTTTAATAACGTCTTGAGAATATAATAATTTTTAGTGGGTCACTTTTTTGGGCATAGTGAGATTAAGGGTGTTCAGAAAGTAGTCCGAGGAGAGGTTATCAGGGAAGCAGAAGCTGCTATCTGATACCTTTAATAGTTACAAACAGGAATCATTAGAACAAAAAGAAAATAAACATAATCCAATGTTTTGTTTGTATTAATGATAATGCCCTTTGTAGCGAGAATTAACTGATAAGGCCAGGCATACATTAAATGTTCAGTTTCTATCATCTCAAACACAAAGCAAAAAGAGCTGACTTCTAATTGCCTAATTGCCTTAGAAGACTTGTCAGGTAAGGAATGAATGGTTTTATTCACAGAAAGCTTTCTCTTCTAATAATGACCACAGAGATCTCTGGGCTGCTCGTGTTAAATGGTTTCCATGCTTTTTGCTGTCATCTGTAAACCCATCTCTGAACTGTAAATTATATTTAATAGCATTTTTTCCCTGGGTTGATTTCCTGCAAAGACAAACGATATACTTTGAATGGCTCTCTGTTTTCCTCAATCGAGTATGAGCGCACACATGCCAATCACGTAAACAAATGTGTGTTCAGGGCATTAGTAACCGGAATTTTCTGTAAAAACTCAAAAGCCACAGCGAAAGGAAGTTGTAGATTTTAACAGAAACATGAAAAGTTAACAAAAAGGCAGTCACGTTTATTTTGTGGGGCACATGAATTTATCCTGAGATTTAACTACACATTTATGGACAATTCATGTAAAAAGAAAAATGTTAGCAAACTCTGTAAATTAACATTTAAGATTTTTCCAGAAAATGTGAAAACAAGGGCACATTCCTACATTCCATAGCCTGCTTGTTATTTACCATTTTGTCTTCTTTTTTCTTTTAAGTTTAGGGGAATATGAAGAAATAGACTGAACAGGATTTTACTGTTTTCTATAAAATGAGGGGGGAGGGAATTGTCTCATTTTTCCAATGGGACATTTTTATTATTTAAAATAAAAATAATAATTTTTATTATTAAAAAAAAAAAGGAAAGCTGACCAATTAACCCCTAACAGGAGGTACAATGCTATCATTTGCCAAGTCTTTTGTGCAGTCAGACTGGTCTAGTATAAAGGATTTTCCCAACTTATGCTGGATCCTTGAGAAGACCTATAAATAAGACCATTTGTTTGGTCTCAAAATGACTTGCATTTGCAAACTGAAGAATGTTCCAATAGAAGTTTCATGGTGACACACCAATCTGCAAACTGGCTCAGCCAGTAGTCAAAACAAGTCACGACGAGATCTGGGAAGCTGAAGACTTTGAATGGGTCAGATTATCCTCCATGCAGTTTGGCACAGATAAATTTGGGCTATAAATATGCAGCCTCCCTTTATGTTTTCAACTCAAATGGTCCAGAACAAATAGTGAAAATACGTATGCACCTAATGGTGACCCAGAACCATGAGAATACTGTGATCAAACCGAAATCACTTATTTACGCTAGAGAGTCCTTTGTATTACGATGAGCAGTCGCTTGCTAAAATTGCAAAGCATAGGTGGTTTGTTCTTCACTTAATGCATGAGCACTTAAATTAATCTGAACATCTTTAATTATAAGCTGGAAATTGAGTCATTGAGACATTTAACACCGGGGAAGACAGACACTTACAAGGCACCCGACTTTCATAGAAATTTGTGTGACTAATGCAGGGGTCCCAAACCCAATGCCTACATGGGCAATACAAATTAGAGATGTGGACCAGGTAAATGCCTGCTCCAGGTAAGGAAGAAGCTATTAGCACCCCATTAAAAAATACCAGCTGTTCTGAATTTTCAGGCGAACCCATTAATCAGAATTGTATCATAAAACTTTCCTCATTTTAAAAATATTGTCAACTAGTTCAAATTTTTTAAGAAGCTACGAGCCAAACAGAACAAGCCTATGAGCTGGGCTTAACCTGCGAGCCACCCATTTGCACGTTTTACTATTGCACGAGAAATGAGCTACAGTTCTGCAGATGCCTCCAAAGTGATAACCCAAAAAACAACCCATCCCTTTAGAAGCCAAGCCTGAAATAGCAGGACCTCGTTTCTTCTAAAATGGACAGTTTCCTCCTGCTGGAGATGTGATTTGATGGTGTCAGCATGTGAGGTTCCTGTCACTTCATGACATGTCTTCTTCTTCCAGGCCCGATGGGATAGGAACCGTGACTGTGGAAGAAAAGGAACGCTTTGAAGAAATCAAAGAGAGACTCCGTGTCCTGTTGGAAAATCAGATCACGCATTTTAGGTAAGGATCTGGCGTTTAGGGGCTCATTTGGAGGGTGAGACCGGGGAGGAACAATTAAAGGGCTTGATTTGCCAAAACTGTAAATCTACCGGAGGTATCCTGGGTATGCAGAAGTAACTTTGTAGAAAAAGCAAACCAATCAGACATGGTTCCTCAATAGGCAACAGACTTGAAATTCTTTCTTCTTTTTTTTTGTTGTTGTTGTTTTTGTATTTTTCTTTTGCTCAAGAATTGCTTAAGAACTTGACATTCTTTTTTTTTTTTTTTTTGGTTTTTTTTTTGAGACAGAGTCTCACTCTGTTTGCCCAGACTAGAGTGCCCGGGCATCAGCCTAGCTCACAGCAAGCCTCAAACTTTTGGCTCAAGCCATCCCTCCTGCCTCAGCCGCCCATGTAGCTGGACTACCAGACATGCTTGCCACTGATGCCCAGGCTGAATTTGTTTTATTGTATTTTTAGTTGGCCAATAATTTCTTTGCAGTCTTTTTGAGTAGGAGAAGGGGTCTCACTCTTGCTCAGGCCCTCGCGTCCGCTTGGCTTTTCCGTTGTTTTGAACGTAATTTGAGCAAGTCCGCGCGTCCGCGGCCTGCCCAGAGTGCTAGGAGGTACAGGCGGAGAAAGAACTTGACATTCTTAAATTTCATTTGAGTTTCGCACTGGAAGAACAGAAGCCTTGTCTTGTGAGCGGACCATCAGCCGATATGAGTAAACGTTGAATTTGAAGTCTTCAAAGGGGCCTAAGAGTAGCCGGGGCGCGGGGTGCACGCCGAATCCTAGCCACCTGCTGGTAGGCGAGGCGGGGGCGGATTGCGCCGAAGATCAGGAGTTCAAAACCAGCCTGAGCCGGAGGCGCATACCCCGGCTCTACTATAATAGAAAGAAATAATCTGGCCAGCTAAAAAGCGTATATGAGAAAAAATTAGCCGCCGATCGGCGGGCGATGCCTGCAGTCCAGCTACCTCGGGTGAGCTGCAGGCAGGAGATCGCTTGAGCCCAGCGAGTGGAGTGCCTGGTGAGCTGAGCAGGCGACGCCACAGCATGGTCAGTCTAGCCTGGCAACAGAGGTAGACCGTGTCTCAGCAAAAAAAGAATTGCCTAAATAAAACAGAAAAAAAGCAATCCTGTGACTGGGCGCATCATAGGGACAGGAAGGCAGCGCATGGTGGCGCCTATGGCCAGTCTCCGGCTTTTCTCCACCCGGGAAACAGGATGAGCTGGTACGTGGGGAAGAGGGAACTCGGACCAGCCCTGGCTAGTACGGATACTTCCTTGTGTGCGCGAGCAGCCACCTCACACCAACAGCCCAGGCCTCCCCTGGGAACAAATTAAGGCATTTCTCATGCTTTGGCTGGTGCGTCTAGAAGCAGCAGATCTAAATAATAACTCAAAGATAGGAATCACGTGATGAATGAGTTCTAGTTTGATTAGAATACTTCCTATCTGCCAGTATAGGAACTGGGACGGCTGAGAAGTATGAAGGCAGTTGTTTGATTGCTCAGAAGTGACGTTCTGTAAGTTGTGTATATCATCCCCGTTAAACGTACCGTAGTTTCCCCGAAAGAGAGACAGGCGTCTATATTTATTTTCCCCAAGAAGACATCCTAGGGGCTGATTTCAGGGATGTGTTATTTTTTAAGCTACGTAACAACCATCTACATTTATTCAATATTAGTGAAGTCATCTGCTGGAACGCATTCCATCATCACTCGTGCGCAAACCCCCGAATACCATCGCTGAATGTCTTGCAACTCTATTCTTTAGGACCACTGGCCCTGATCTCTCCTGTTGAGCCACTAGACGCTGTCACAGTCAGATGAGAAGGGCTGCTCGGTGTTCGCTTCCGGCTCCACGCACGATCATGGTGGGTTGTGCAGGATGGCTGCGAGCCACCCCCGTCATAGGCTGTATTTTGCAGTAGCCCGCCATCACTACGCTGATTTCATAGCCACGCCCAGCACTAAGGGCTTATTTTCATAGCCACGCCAGTCACTAGGCTTATTTTCATAGCCACGCCCAGCACTAGGGCTTATTTTCATAGCCCACGCCCTCCTAGGCTTATTTCATAGCCACGCCCAGCACTAGGCTTATTTTCGGGGTAGGGCTTCTATTTGCGCACATGCTTAGACATTCCTGTAGGCTCATTTTATGGGGAGGTCTTATTTTCCAGGAAACATAGTAGGAATAAAATGAGACTGAACTTTCCCAAGGCCTCTCAGCCAGCAAATGGGAGCATGGGATGCGGACATAGGATAGTCTGGGTTTGAGTGGCCATGCTGGTCTGTCTGTGACAGGAATAGTGTTTTCAAGGGCCTGCGACGGCCTGAAACAGTCAATGGAATTTCTAGTGGCACCAGACGCAGTTCTTTCTGTGCCATCAAAATCCTCCCAGATAAATCTTTATGGATTATATACTATATGTAAAATGCATTGCCAACAGCAAAAGGTCTGTAACAATGAAAAATAGCAAGCAAGGAAGGACAGTTAGCAGAATCATGAATTTGTTCTAAATACACTCCTCTGGCCAGGCGCAGTTGGTCACGCCTGCAATCCTAGCACTCTGGGAGGCTGAGGTGGGAGGATCGCTCGAGGTCAAGAGTTCAAGACCAGCCTGAGCAAGAGCAAGATCGCGTCTCTACTAAAAAATAGAAAGAAATTAATTGGCCAACTAAAAATATATAGAAAAAAAATTGAGCCAGGCATGGTGGCGCATGCCTGTAGTCCCAGCTACTCGGGAGGCTGAGGCAGGAGGATCACTTGAGCCCAGGAATTTGAGGTTGCTGTGAGCGAGGCTGATGCCATGACACTCCCTCTAGCCTGGGCAACAGAGTGACACTCTGTCTCAAAATAAAAATAAAAATAAATAAATACACTCTTCTATTCCACATATTAATTCACTGGGGGGAGATGTTTAAGGAAATATGTTTGCATTTCAGCCTGTTTCAACTAATATTTTGTTTAATGCTCAGTAGTAATATATAAGGTCACATTTGGGCTAACAAATAGTTCTCTTTCACAATAGAAATCCAAACAGCCTTGTGTCATCACTCTCGATATTCTTTTCTCCCTCAGACATTTGCAGGGTCCCTCTTTAGTTATTATTCACACATACACATATATACATTATATACACACATATATGGTGTGAATTCAGATTAACATAACACAACGTGACAAAATAAAAAGCATTTTCCGTTCCTCCGAGAGAGTTGCTATAGGAATCAAATTGCAGCATATTTCATGCGAAATGTAATAATTTGGGCAACCTTAAGCATTTTATGTCTTTTTTAGGTATTGCTTTCCATTTGGTCGACCTGAAGGTGCTTTAAAAGCTACCCTCTCACTCTTGGAAAGGGTAAGAATGAAAGTAAAAGACAAATCACATCTATAATGAAACACACACAACGTAATTGCAATTAAAATATTGTGGTGGAATGACCTAGTTTGTCATTTGTAAAGGATTTATTTACCATTCATCAAAATATCAGAATAAGGCCGGGCGCGGTGGCTCACGCCTGTAATCCTAGCACTCTGGGAGGCCGAGGCGGGCGGATTGCTCAAGGTCAGGAGTTCAAACCAGCCTGAGCGAGGGCGATACCCCGTCTCTACTATAAATAGAAAGAAATTAATTGGCCAGCTAAATATATATAGAAAAAATTAGCGAGGCATGGTGGCGCATGCCTGCAGTCCCAGCTACTCGGTAGGCTGAGGCAGGAGGATCGCTTGAGCCCAGGAGTTGGAGGTTGCTGTGAGCGAGGCTGACGCCACGGCACTCACTCTAGCCTGGGCAACAAAGTGAGACTCTGTCTCAGAAAAAAAAAGAAAGTTCCTAAATAAAACAGTAAAAAAGCAATCCTGTGACTGGGATCATAGTGAGCAGGAAGGCAGGCCATGGTGCCTATGGGCCAGTCTCCGCTTTCTCCACCACCTGGGAAACAGGATGAGCTGGCTACGTGGGGGAAGAGGGAACTCGGACCAGCCTGGCTAGCTAGGATCTTCCTTGTGTGCTGGAGCAGCCAGCCTCACACCACACAGCCCAGCCTCCCCCTTGGAACAAATTAGGCATTTCTCATGCTTTGCTGGTGGTTCTGGACCACAGATCCGAAAATAATAACTCAAAAGTAGGAATCACGTTTATAATAGTCCCTATTTATTAAATACTTCCTATCTGCCAGATATAGGACTGGAGGCTGGAGAAGTATGAAGGCATGTGTTTGTATTCTCAGAATGACTTTGTAAGGTTGTTATTATCATCCCCGTTTAAACTACCGTATTTCCCCGAAAAGAAGACAGGGTCTTATATTTATTTTTCCCCAAGAAGACATCCTAGGGCTTATTTTCAGGGGATGTGTTATTTTTTTTAAGTACGGTACAACCATCTACATTTATTCAAGTATAGTGAAGTCGTCTTCTGGAACATCATCCTCACTCTCCAAACCCCCAATACCATCCTGAATGTCTTGCAACTCTATTTCCTTTAGGACCACTGGCCCTGATCTCTCCTGTTGAGCACTAGAGCTGTCACAGGGCAGATGAGAAGGGCTGCTCGTGTTCTTTCCCGCTCCACGACGATATGTGTGGGTTGTGCAGATGTGCTGCGTAGCCACCCCCGTCACTAGGGCTTATTTTCATAGCCACGCCCATCACTAGGGCTGATTTTCATAGCCACGCCCAGCACTAGGGCTGATTTTCATAACCACGCCCGTCCCTAGGGCTGATTTTCATAGCCACGCCCAGCACTAGGGCTTATTTTCGGGGTAAGGCTTCTATTGCGCACATGCTTAGACATCCTGCTAGGGCTCATTTTATGGGGAGGTCTTATTTTCCAGGAAACATAGTAGGAATAAAAGGAGACTGGACTTTCCCAAGGCCTCTCAGCCAGCAAATGGGAGAATGGGATGCGGACATAGGATAGTCTGGGTTTGAGTGGCCATGCTGGTCTGTCTGTGACAGGAATAGTGTTTTCAAGGGCCTGCGACGGCCTGAAAAATGGAATTTCTAGTGGCACCAGACGACAGTTCTTTCTGTGCCATCAAAATCCTCCCAGATAAATCTTTATGGATTATATACTATATGTAAA